CAAAATATCTGGTTGTAATGAAAGTTTTATGACAAAAATCTTTCTTAATAAAGTTAGGGGGGAACATGAAAGCAGTATCTTTAGTGCGGGTAATAACCCCCATCCAAATCTATGATTTTCTGCCAATGTTTTGGTACTTTTTCAAAGTTTTTGGCCCAGAAACTTGGTGGCTGCAAGTCCAAAAACAGATCAACCTCATTTCAGATGTCCTGTTCAGTGGAAGATAGCATAAGCAAAATGTAGCTGTGGCTGCAAAAAAAGGTAGAAGTCTGAAGGAATGTTGTCGGGGCTATATGGTAGGTGTGGCAAAAGATCCCATTTGAGTCCAGCTGATGAATGCCAACATAGGCATTAACTTGAGAAAACATTACATTTTCATGCCGGAACTCAGTTTGACATTTTCCCTTGATAGCAGCGTTTCCTTGATAGCAGTGTTTCCTTGATAGCAGTGAGGTGTACAGTGAGACTAGCATCTCACTGTACACCTCACTGATATCTTTTTCCAGCCTCTCTTTGTGGATAATACCTTGAAAATCCCACCAGATACAAAGCATGATCTTTTTATTAATCAAATTGCAATTTGCAATGCTGCCGATGGACTCACCGCACCCAGACCAACTCACATTTTGGTCTGTGTTGTTGAAGTAAATCCACTTTTCATCACAAGCGATGATCTGGTCCAGAATTTTGACCTTGCGTTGATATTAGAGCAACTTAGAGCAGGCCCGAACACGTATCTCCTTATCTACTTGAGTCAGCTCATGTGGCACCTAGTGACTGAATTTGTATGCCACATTTCTACAAACCATAGGGTGACTAATGGACATGACACTAACATCTAACTCCTTAGCAAGCTCTTGAGTGGTTGCATACTGATCTTCCACAAGTTCTCGCAGGTGGACCTCATTAACATCAGTAGGCCTGCCAAAGTGCTGTGCTTCTTGAATGTCATGTCGTGAATTTTGAACTTTTGGTACCAAACCTTCACAGTGTCATATGATACAACATTAGTACCTAACACATGATTTGGTGACATTCTGTAGCCGACTTTTCGCAACAGAACTGGAAGTAAGTGATGGATCTAATCTGGTAGCATCATATAATAGTTCCATTTCAGACACCTTGTATTTAATGATAATGATATTTTTTTACAAATTTTACAAAACAGTGTTCTAAAGCAAGTTCTTTTTTTTTTTCAAATGCCAAAAATCGTTTGACAAAATATGATTAAACACACAAATGTTTGCATAGACGATTTTTGCGGTATTGGGAAATTTTCATTAAATCCCGATACCATGCCAGCAATTGATTCTGAACAAATATATCCAAACTTTTCTGAACTTATAATGCGAATAATTAACACTAAATTCAAAGTTTCTTTGTGTGAATGTATTCAGCCCTTCCTTAATTGTACATATAATGTTTTAAACATGCAGTTTGTATGAAAATCTTTAGCTTTAAGCAGTATTGATTTTGATTTATTGCAACATGCAGGAAATTAATAAAGTTGTGAGAAAAAAGTGTTCAAAAGAATTGTATCATCTATTAAGTTATTAAGTCGATCAGGGTTAGCATTTAGAGGTCATGATGAAAATCAGAACTCAAACAAAAAAGAAAACTTTCACATGCTTAGAATAGCTCAATGAGTATGACAGATTTCTGAATTTGCATTTAAAAAATACATTAATTGAGAACAAGGAAAAGTAAATTATTTACCATGTGGTATTTGTGAGGAATTCATCAGCATCATTAACAAAAATATTTAATAATATATGTAACAGAAAAACTTAAATCAGCAATTTACTAAAGTCTTATATTTGACTTTGTGCCTGATATTTTGCACAGTGATCATTTGACATTAGTTATAAGATACATCTTGCCAAGTGATGATGTAAAAACAAATTTTTCTAAAGTTTATATCAATTGAAGAATATACAGCACCATATTTGGAATAACAAGTATTGTCATCTTTAGCAACGTAGGCATAGATGTTAAAGTTTGCAGAGGGCAAAGACAATGCAGAAAACCTATCAGGAAAATACTCAGGATTGCAGGCCAAGTGTGAATACATCTCTTTTGCTAATCATTCTTTAAATTTAGTGTGTAGTTTTGTTGCAAAAGTTGCCACAATATTGAATAGTGTGTGCCACTATTCACTATTTTATGTTTGTGCAAAAATCCTTTGCTTTTTGGTCCTGATTGCTGGGAAATTTTGAGCAGAAAGTTAAAAAAGAGTGAAAATAATTTAATTATAAAAAATTATCTGATTCTACATGATTGACAAGAGCTGTTAGCTTTAAAACTGTTACAATCATATAAAAGAAGCCTTACCTGATATCTGTACTTCAAGTTTGGAAAAGAAAGTAAAGGTAGTGAATGTTATACTTTTATTTAAAAAACTGTGCAGAAATGTAATAAAGTAATATTCCTGACCATAATTTGGAGCACCATTTTACAGAAAATGAATTTTATCAGCAAATTCTTAGAAACCACTGTGTGTGGACTCTTATTTCAAGAAGCTGATTTATTAGAATCTTTCAAAAATTTTATCGGATGATTCCGTTATAAATTTTTTAGCATAGAAAACAAGGTAATTGCAACGGCATATTACACTTTGAAGAACAGAATCACAGGCAACCACTTTCAACACGTGAAAATTATCTTCAATTCTTTTCATATTACTTGTGACAATGTAATATAACAATTTTCTTGTAGAAATGCAGAATATAAAAATAATGTAGAGAATTTTAACTCTAATTTAAATTTGTTGAATTTAGGAAAAAAATTTTTGTGTAAAAAATACATAGATATATTAAAAATTATGATGATGTTACACATTTGATAATGAAATGAAACAGTTTTCATTGTTTTTTAAAGAAAGTGAAGAAAAATTTATTTCTGTCACACTATCATGCTCCAAGAAAAATGACATCAACTTTTCCTGATGTGGAAATAATTTAAATAATTTTTTTGACTATTCCAATTTCCAATGCATTCAGAGAGAAATCTTTCTCTGTCTTAAAAAGGGTAAAAAAATATTCAAGAAATGCAATGTCAGAAGAAAGTCTAAACAGTACGGCTCTAATATATATGGAACAAGAAGTGTTAAACAGCATCTATACTTTGAAAATAACTGATGAATTTGCTAAAACGAACACAAGGGAAAAATTTGCTAAATCTGCTACTTGATAGTCATCTAATTTACTAATCCATTATATTTTAATTTTAAAATATTCCAAAAAAAAATTTTAGCAGTTTGAGGTTTTATTTTTTCTTTTCCATTCAATATTTATTTTATTGATACGATTTTAACTTTTATGTATTTTAGTATTGATGTGCAGAAGATTTAATATAAGAGTATTAAAATAAAAATATTAAATCATAATTTTACTAAAACATTAATATTATTAAGTAATTATGGGCATTTAATTATTTATTACACTTCAGCACTATTTGCATTTCAAGTATACAGGCATGCAAATATTTTCTTAAGAGCCCTTAACATTTTACTGTCACACTTGTTACATTTAACTTGGCCTTGCTATTTTTTTACATCCATATAATTTGTTGCAAAGTTACACTGACTAATCTGAACATCAAATATCAAATTCATACAAGTTCTCAATGATGAAAACAGGACATGGATATTGCGTTATTTTAATATTGATAGCTATAGCATCCAAATAAACTAATTATTAGATGTGATTCCAAGAATGAAGACAATGGGATGATATCTGACCATTGCAATTATTTTGTATTTTTGAATACAAGCATAGAGATTAAGTTGTTAATTGTGTGAGTATATTACTTTCTAAATTATTCATTGATAGAGCTAAACAGAAATCCTTGAGGAAGAGAAATATTCGAGTAAATATGATATTAAAAGTACTTTCATTCTTTGCACTCCACTATAGCTGCTGCAAAATCATTAATAATAAGCAGCATGGATAAGTTACACCACAACCAAGTATGTCTAAGTCACAGTGTATATCAGCTTGTACATTACTCTTCCTATTTCAGTAATTGGAAAACAAATTATTATTTGATTTTGTCTTTTTTGATGAAAAAATGGAAAGCAAAAACAACTAATTCAATATGTGAATGTGTAAAATAATTCAAATAGATTACATGCTTCATGCAATAAGAAAAGATACAAAGAGGGATTCTGTTGTATGTTCCAACAGAAAGCAAAAGAATCACGCAGAGCCGTAGCTAGGGTTTTCAGTAGCCAGGAACAACTGAGGACTTCGCAACCCTTCTGTTTGCAAAGGACAGAAAACATTTAATTTCAAAATTTAGCAACATCAGTTTGGCATCCCTTGAATTCTGCACCCAGGGATAGATGTCCTTCCTTATGCCTCGGCTATGCTACTAGAATCACAAAATAAGCGATTCTTGTCCAAATAAGCCAAAAAGGGAGAATCAGTATAGAAAATCAGTAGCCACAAAGAATTTTAAAATAAAACATAAAACTGTTATTAATATTAAAATAATTGGATTATTGTGTCTGGCAGTAACATCTGAACAAGCCCACGAAATTCATCGTGGCAAGGAGAGCAAGATTGTGCTTGTTGTTAGCAAGAACCTTGAGCACCATACATGTGACAGTGCAACTTCTCAGTTCTGCCCCAATTTTGATGCAGAGCACCCGGGAGGAGGGACGAGTGCAAGGGTCTTCCACCCCTCTTCCCTACCAGTAACTTCTTGAGAGGACTTTCAGCCCATCGCATATTTAGAATGCCCCCCATGCCACACTGACATTACACATTTACAAACATCCATGCCTTCTCCAGGATTCAAACCCAGGCTCTTCGATGCCGCAGTAGGCTTTCCTAACCACTATACCATCTTTATCAATAAAGATTTAAAAACATCTTTGGCAGAATGCATTTAATAGTAATTTAAATATTCTGTTTTTAATAACAACTTGCAATAATTAATTCAGTACATATTAAAAATTGTGATGAATATTTTAGAAAAACATGTAATTTTCAACTTACTTCAACTTTAATAGTAGCGTGCCTTGGTTGCTTGAATCCTATCATTTTCTTTATGCATGGTATAACAAAAAGATAAAAGCATACAAATGCTGATACTGGATTTCCAGGCAAACTAAACACTAATTTTTTTTTATCTTCAAAAACTACAGTCGAAAATGTAGTTGGCTTCCTTAAATTAAAAAGGGGAAAAAAAAAGTTTTGCATTATACATAAAATTTAAATATATCCAAGTCTTGACAAGTCATAAAATGAAAGCTGAGGCTAATATTTAGATATAAAAATTTAAGAAGAAATAAATCAAGCATTTGTTTAAGATTTAGGATAAATACTTTTTTTTTTAATAATTTAAATAGTTCAGATTTTACAAAATAACAACTTTAATAGATTTATTTTCATTAAAAAAAGCGTTTTTTTTTTTTTTTTTTTTTTTTTTTTTTTTTTTTTTTTTAGTTGTATATATAACTTTTTGCAGACACCATGCCCTTAATTAAATAATTCTATAAGTTAAAGCAATAAACTGTAATTTGGAAAAAAACATATATAGTCTTAAACTTTCAGAGTTAGAAAATGATTCTCCTGGAAGTAGTTTATAAGGAATTTCAGTTTACAGTACAATATGCCATGATATTTATTAGATGCTTTGATGTTAAGATGCATTAGCTAGTCTTAAAGCAAATTTGCATTGTAATATAATTTCATTTTATTCAATGAAATTTTATCAATACCAAAATAAAATAATGTGGCCACAATCAAATATCAAGACCTCACCCTGATGTTCTAAAATTTTTAAAGACACAGAAGAAAAGTTTCAAAATTTGCACAAATGACACTTGATTATAGTCATTATGCTTAGTAAAGTTTCATGACAAGCAAATAACTTGTAGATAATATTGTTGAAATACTTATACTAGATTACACATAATTTACACAAGTTATTTTAGAAGAATATCATGGATTTTAAGTCATTTCATGAAACTTTTCTCTCACTATTAGGTTTAAAAAAATCAAAAATAAAGATTTATACTACCAAAACTGAAGAATAATTATTTTAAATAATATTTTATTATAGCGTTTCAAAAACCTTAAGGATAGTAAAAAATATTTTTACATATGCTGAAAAAGACTTTTGTGTTTACTACACACACACATGCAAAAAAAAAAAAAAAAAAAAAAAAAAAGTATACAGAACGATTTTCTTTCCTTAAAGGGGATGATAAACACAGAATTTAAAATAACTCTACATATTCATGAATAATTGAATCAATGAGCCACAATACAACATTAATTTAGACATTTTAGAATTTTGCTTGTATGCACATTTATTTGCAAATTTTATAATTTTTTTATAAATCATCTAAATTGATTTATTTTTATACCTCTTATTTAACTTTAGCTGCTATTATTCATCAAGCATTCACAAATTAATAAATCTTAATTTAAAAAAAAAATTAAATTATTCATGACATACCCTGGCTTCATATGTATTCTGCCAAAATGAATTTTTGCTCTAAAGTCCTGCTCTAGAACTAGTTTCAACATGTCCTTAAAATAAAATAATTGCTATAAGTATGAAGAAATGAGAATAAAATGAATTTTATAGAATTGTTCGATTAGCATTGCACTTCATTATCAAACATGAGTATTAAATTACACAAAGTGCTCCAGAAGTTACTAATTAAAAAAAAGAAAAGAAAAGAAAATCATAAAAAAGTAAACAAGGTGCTATAGGAGGTTGAGGTCTGCACCAAAATTACTGGATTTTTTGGAGTAGCAAAAACTATTGCATCATTACACAGTGTTTCCCATTAAGTATGAAACAATTATACTATGCAATGAAGCAATTTTGAATTCATTAAAACATTTAAAATTTTAAATGCCATGTCATTATAAAAAAATAATCTACAAAACATTATTTTATACTTCAAAGATATAGCCTTGATAAAAATGACATACCAAATAATAAACTGAAGTCTATAAAAATTATCAAATTGAATTAAAATCTTCTATACCGGTTTTAAAAGTTTTAACTGCCCACTTTCTGTTTATTTTTAATATGTGATGAAGAATATACTAAGAATTAGCATCATGAATTATATTGTACAACATTATATTCAAAAATTTTAATCATATCTCCTTCTTTTACTACTCACAAATTAACCTTGTTTATAACTAAAACACAAAATAAATAATAATAATAATAATAATAATAAAACCACCTGTGTTTAATATCTTTAATTTATCTGTAATACTTTTATTTATTTATGAAATACAAGATATAATTTTTGTGCTTTAGCATAAATTAATATTTTGGAAACAAATTAAAAACATTTAAATAACAAAAGCTATGGAGAAAAATGAAGCTTTTAAAATCATACAGTTTTGATCATAATGAAATAAACAAAGCTAGTCAAAAGACAGAAATTTTATGACTGTGGTACCTGAAAATCATGTTTCAACTGTGAAATTTACTCTGTAATCCCTTTCATGTATTTGTACATTGTTTTATGAGTTCAAGTATAAAGATTATGTCTGGGTAATCATTCTTTACTGTCTAACAGATTAAAAAAAAAAAAAAAAAAAAAAAAAAAAAAAAAAAAACCCTCTCAAAGAAATACAGGTTCCACTTATGGGCTGTTTTTTATGAAATACAATTTTCTTCACAACAAGAACCTACTAGGAGTTTATTAGCAGTTGAAATGACATTTTCAAGCAGTATAACTCATTAAGTACACAGTCATTTGACTAGTGCTGAAAACTGCACTATTATCCATGGTTACTTCTCCCTGCATGATGTCATGGAATTGTTTGCCTCTCATAATATTCAGAAAAGTTAAGGTACTTTCTTGATGATTTTTCCTGTCAGGGTGTAGAATAAAAATCAAATGAAAATGATTTTTATTTCAGAACCTGATAAAAGAAATTTTTAACATCATCTTTTTATTTGACAAAACCTAATACTACTTAAGAATATTTCACAAATGAAATCATAGTTTTGGTTTGTTTAAAGAGCAAATTTTTTTTCCATCAAAAAATAAAAATTCCAGCTTTAAATCAGTACACAATTCTTGCTACCTGCTTGGTATCAAATCAACAAGGAGTTGAATATTGCCCAGCTCAGAGCTGTTTTCATGGCCTGGTTGACTAATTTCCAACCAAACAACAGCTAATAAATTATGATTGTATCAGATCATTGATAAATAATAACTCACATAACGTTAAATGTAATATATAACTCACATGATATTAAACGGCATCAGACTATACTAAATGCAGCTCTAGTGTATAGTTGTTGCTCCCATGTACATAATTTCTCAAATTCTTGAGTACATTAGTAGTAATATTTTGATCCTTGTATTTTTTCTGTATGTACTCCAGGTGATTATATCAATTCACCTGTTCACTTGCTAAGCAACTATAAATTCTTCCCACTTTTAAGTACATCTGTACTTTACTCATGGACATGCATGACTAATTGAATAATTTTCTATAATACATTACACATTAAGTGATTTTTAGATTTACAATATTGTTTTTCATTATAATTCGAAAAATGTCATTCTGTTCTAATGAGGTAGGGCTTCATGCTCGGATATTCAGTATTGTACCTATTCACAATATAAGTGCCTTGGTGGCCCATAGGGAAGCCAACCATAATAGTGCTGAGGCCAGATTTCAATCCATGAGAAAGCATGGGTATTTATAAGTGTGAAGGCACTTATAAAACAGTTAAGCCCTAATTTCTCAAGAGGTTAATTGTAAGAGAAAAGACGTAGGAGACCCCTGGATCCATATTCCAAGATGTTTTTCCAAAAAACTAAGGTGAAGTTGGGCAACTTCATACTGAGCCTATAAATTTATCAAAGACATGGCCTACAAGTACCTGCAAGGCCAAGTCCTTGGTCCATCACCTACCTATAAGATGCTAAAGGCCTTGGCCAACAACAAGAGCAACTCTTACCCTTTTGGTTATGATGAATTTATAGATCTGATCTAGATTATGTTCAGATCAGGAATATCAGTCAAAACAACATAACTTTCAAGCTATTCTGATCAAATATGGAAAGTTGTCACAAATTAATCAGATATTAATGACCTTCAACAAGTATACAACTGCAAATCAGGAATATAATTTTCAATACAATTTGCTATTTCTATCTTCAGTCACTAATTAATTCAAAACTTTCAGCTATTAATAATGTTATGATCGCATTCCTATCTAAAACTATATTTATTTTTAACTTTTAGCATAGGTCATTTTGCATTATTTTCCAGTATGTGAGACTACCTGAAATGAAAATGCAAAAATAAACTACTTCTTAAAAGTCAAGTGAAAACAATTTTAATAGTTACATAAAAAGTAAATAAAAATGTACCCAAACAGTTAGGGAGCAAATATAAGTCAATACATTTATATGAAAATTTTTTTGGAATCAATAACAAATAAGTTAATAAATAAATAAAAAAAATTCTTAATTTTAAAACATGAACTATTTGTTATCAAGTATGAATTTTTCTTTTTAAGCAAATCACATATTAATAACACATTTACTCCAGTTTACAGTTATTGAAAAAAAAATTATTATTGAACAAAATCTTTTTAAAAGTTCTTCTATATCAATAGTCGCAAATTCTTGGCTGCTGTTTGATTCTAAATTTATAATTTTAGCATACATATAGCTTACTCTTTCACCCATTGAAACACCACCTGTTGAAATGATAATGTCAGCTGCTTCAAATGCTAACATTAAGTGTGATTTCACATCATCAGGTCTACAAGGAAAAGAAAAATGCACATTTTCACATACTTTAATCAGAAGTCATATCATTAGGCATCACATAAGCTTTCTACAATGTTTAAATTACCTTGAAAGTAAATCAATATATATTATATAAAGTTCATATAATTAATGTGACTCAAATTGAAGATTAGCTTATATACAGCATTTTTTTATGCAGTTTTTTAAATGATTTCAACAGACTGCAAAGTTTTAAATATATACTCATTGTTTACAATTTATACAGAGTTTGGTATTTCATATAATAAATAATACACTCATTTTCATGAACAATAAAAATTTCAAGAGGTACATTAATGTAATTTAATATAACAAGTAAGGAGTGCAGAAACAGATTCAGCTTCTCACTAAAGTTGTGAACCAGTAGTGGAAAGATAATAGGTGTAACTCAGTTCCTGTAAATTATAAACGTTTTTGCCTATTCAACTTTATATGACTTTTATTTTAGTTTATATAATTAAGGCCAAGTAGTACAACACACACTTATCCCTGAAAACTATTCTCTGAAAACCAAGTTATAAAACTTCCTCCCTAATAATATGCTTTCAGCTGTCTCATCATGATATATAACAAAAGGCAATCCAAAAAAGGTTAAAAGAATAAATGATATTGTTACAAAATGCCCAGCTGTGGTAAGATAGCTTCCCCGCAAAGCGGGGTTAGAGTTGTCAGAAAAAGGCAAGGAAAGACAGAATTGCCAGATTTGGCAAGAAATCGCCCATTTGGTGCTCAGATCGCATAAATTTACCAGTGTTGTAGAAAAAACTCAATCAGGATGTTGGGGTTTTAATTCTTGAATTTAATAGTTAAAAATATCTTGCTTCTTCGCGTACCACCTATTTTTCTCTTGCGTACCACCACTGGTACACATACCACCGATTGAGAACCCTGGTCTAGAGTATGTTGAGTTCAGTAGTAGTGTCTTGGGTTCAGAGATCAGCTCGAGAGCGATCGACTGAGTCGGGAGCTGTACTTAGTGCTTTCCTGTGAAGCTGTCTTCATTGTTACAGCCTGAAAGCTGTGTTGTTGATTGTTTTAACATGTTTGTCGTAGTTTTTCGATGACTGTAAACATGTCTTTGGAACTCTCCTGTGTAATACCGACGAATAAATTGTGTTTTCATTTGTCATCAAGTGTTGTCATCAATCAGTCCAAATCCACGAATCCATAGTACACAACAATATATATAGCTTGACACATTCTACAGTTCAAGAGAATATTTTTTTAAAATCTATAATCTTATAAACATAATTTTGTATATAATCGTAGTTGGTAAAAGGCTAACAAAAGCTAACAGTCAAGAAAGAAAAAAGAGGGAAAAAATCAGTTTTCTTTTCCCACCCAGTCTTCACATGCTTGTATTATTATACCTTTTTTTTTTTAAATTTTAATATTCTTATCTCAAAACTGAGAATCAATTCATATAATTAGTATTATTTTACAGACTTCTATTAACAAAACAATAGAGAATACCTAAAATTGACTCTCTTCTCTTTTGTTTTGGTTGCTATATGAAATTATTAAATGATTGTAATAACACAAAAAATCAAGGGAGAAAAGATTCAAGTATGCCATTTTGGTCAAAATTATATTTATTTGGAATATAATTCATTCATCAAAGGTAGACATATTCCAATAATAACTTTTTTAACAACTGCATTCGATTTTTCTCTAACTTTAGTAAAAAATATTTTGATTTCAAGCAAGCAAAGTAAAAAAGCAATTAAGATTTCATTCAATATACACAATTATGTTTTGAAAATATAAATAAATTTTAAAATGAAAAATACATTTTTAAAAATAACAAACCACGTACAGTACAAATTCTGAAATCCAGAATCATCAGGATCTCAGTGGTTCTGGATTTCAGAGTTTTCCAGATTTTAGACCATCAGTTTAAATCTAGTACAATAATGCAGAAAATTATAAATTGTGAAATATTTGTTTATGAAATAATAAAGAATTAATGACCTTAAAAATCAAAATTCTCATAAAAAGCACAGAACTTGTTTGCTTAGTAAACATTTCTGTCAATTTAAGTTGTTTAAGCTGTTTGATTTTTTGTGTTAATATCTCTTTAATTTTATAGACAAATATAATTTCTAGTTCAGCTATAAAGTTTTACTGCTCAAGTCCTATAATTGCCATGTCAAAAATTCTCACTAAACTGTCAATAAAAAAATTTTTCATTTCCAAAATCCTCTTTGTCACATTCTTTATTAATGGTAGTGATAAAATCTATGCTAAGATAATGTTTTTACTTTGAATAATTTTGAAATCAAACTTTCTTAAGCCCAAATTGCACCAATACTGTTTTCTGCTGCAGAGGCCAATATAGAAAGCAACTACCAAATATGCTTTCCAGACCAGAATTAGAAACTTTCACATAACATCAAAAATCAAAACTTTAATTTTGATAAGACAGCTGTAATAATAATAGTCTTAAAAAAGGCTCCAAAAAAACTTACTCAAATAAGGACGTTAAGGAAGAGCATAGTTTGCTATGTTAATTAAACTTAAGGCTCTTCAGAATCTAATTCTTTTTGGTTGCTGTTCTAACAAAAGTAAACCAATATGAGCAACTGCTATGTTAACTGAACTTACATCCTTTGGGAATCTATATCTTTCTCTCTTGCTCACTTCTTTGCAGGAAAAAAAAAAAAAAAATAACTCTGAACAAATATGTCTTAAGGCTTCACTTATTGTTCATATGAAAATGAAAAATATTAACATATCCTCCACAATCACCCAATGGCTGAAAGCATGGCAGTTACTAACGTCAATCAGTGGCTTTCAAATCAATGGCTTTTAAGCACCTGCTTATTTCTCTAGTCAGCAGGTAGGCATATTCCAACATATTGCTTATTTCCCTAGTCAGCAGGTGCTTGAAAGAACAGTAATCCCAATTAGTTGGAAGAAAAATCACTTTCACAGCACATCTACTTTTCTTTTTTTAAAGTATTATATATATTCGGATTTCAGACTTTGTATAGCATATCATAGAAGTGGTCTTTAAATGCTTCTAATTAACAAATATGATAAGTTATTTTGATTCAAAGTTACAATAGTACCACAAATAAAAAGAATAATACTTATAAAACAATTTGATAGTTATGAATTAATCATACTTCTTCCCCATTTTGCTTAGAATAAAATACAAAACCTAAATCTATCAACTTACGTATCTCTAGCTATACCAATATCAATTACTGGGATTTTATTTTCAATAATCATATGCGTCAAAGTACTTTTGTTGCTGTCCCTTATGCAACCAGGCTTCAAAGGCATTTCAGGCTCTACTACCTACAACAATAAAATGTGTACGAGAAACTTTAATAAAAATAATTTTATACTACATGTAAGATTTCTATGATATCAAGCAATTAAAGCAATATTTCAAAACAATTTAAAGGAAAAAATAATATCTTGTTACAAGTAAACGGATTGTTGATGCTTTTTAAAATATTAAGTCCAGATAAACAGGAAAAAATAAACAATTTATTATGAAAATAAGTATAGTAAATAACATGCATAGCACAATAAGTAGCTGAAATTCAAGGAGAATGCAAGTATTTAGCAATTTCTCCTTAACACACAAAATATATCATAAAGTTCTTCAAATCACTCGAAGGGTAAACCCTAATTCGTAGCTCAGCTAAATACTTAATCTTACAGCTAATTCACAACTGAACCTCTTAGCTCTGCTACCCATATTTATACCTTGCAGCATGAGAAGTCAAGCAGCATCGGGCATGGTCAGTACTTGGGAAGGTGACCACAACCCTGCAGCATGAGCTCTGGAATAATTGGCCATAGGGCTTCAAAATGTGTTTTTGTGAATCTTCTAGAAAGTTATTAAGTTGACAAAAATAACCAGTACTTGCAAACTTGGCAACAAAATTTGTCGCCCAAGCCTGTGAGGGAAAAAATTGCTTATACCTAAAATATTTATCAGTGCTCTCATGAATGATAATCCTATATGCTAGCAGAAAATTGCTTATTCACAAATATTTATAATATTCCCTACTTAAGAACTGCATGTCCCAGTGGACTACCTTATGTTTAAAGGTTGAGTTCTTTGTACATACATCACTATGTCATTTAGTCCTTGATCATAAGCCCTTTTTCAGGATGCATGTCTTGGAGAGATCCTGTCATGCCGCTTTGGACTATAAAACCAAACTTGACCTGCATCTTTGAATTCCCTCTCCATCCACTTAGAAAAAATTGCTTATACCTAAAATATTTATCAGTGCTCTCATGAATGATAATCCTATACGCTAGCAGAAAATTGCTTATTCACAAATATTTATAATATTCCCTACTTAAGGACTGCATGTCCCAGTGGACTACCTTATGTTTAAAGGTTGAGTTCTTTGTACATACATCACTATGTCATTTAGTCCTTGATCATAAGCCCTTTTCAGGATGCATGTAGCTTGGAAGAGATCCTGTCATGCCGCTTTGGACTATAAAACCAAACTTGACCTGCATCTTTGAATTCCCTCTCCATCCACTTAGAATCATATCTTGTACCATTCTCTCGGTGGTTGTGTTGAACCTTTCCCTGGTAAACCCATAAAGTATTCTAAATGTGCCTGTAGATCTTCCACGTATTGCTCAGGTGAAAAAGTCATGCCTAGCAATTGTCCAAAGAACAGGTTACACAGCATGGCCAAAAATCGTTTGCAATGGAGAAAATCCAGTGCTCTCATGAATGATAATCCTATGTGCTAGCATAAATAATGGCAGTTTTTTGCACCAGTTTCTGTTGTCTCTGGGATTAAATAGAGAGAGACTGCCCAAAATTACTCAGCTGAATCAGCCATCCTACTGTGGATGTAAAGGAGTGATTTGAGTCTTCTCCATCCTGAGAATTCTTTAAATAGGAAAGATGTGAAGTTTGTTCCTTGATCAAATAGAATAAGGAGAGGCATTCTAGATTGTTAAATTCAGTTCTCCAATAAGACTTCTGAAATATTTAAAACATTTTTTTAGCAGGAAAGGCATAGGCTTCCGACCATTTAGTATACACTGGTGTGCAAAAATTAAGGACGAAGTCGAAAAATTAGCATATCAGCTGAACGAAGAGGCTGAGCGGACAGAAAGACCAATCAGGAGATTAAGTAAGGTGATGTACGGTGGCACATGCGCAAATATGCAGGTAGACGTAATGGGGGAGTGTCTAAGTAGTATAAAGCATGTTGTCGGTGTAAGATCAGTATTTCTGGCAAAGAGATTGCACGCCGTATAGCAGTTAAAATCACACCCGAGTTGCTGCCTCAGCGAGAATGGCGAATAATCAATCTGCTAGACGACATCTGGATTCTTTTAACCGAGGTCGAATCATTGGGAAGTTGGAGGAAGGCCGCAGTGTGACAAGTGTGGCTGCAGAGTTCGGAATTGCCACAAGCATCGTTTCACGACTTTGGAGACAATTTCAAACTACAGGAACAGCTATCCGGGGTTTAGTAGTGGTGTCCACGAGAACCACCCCGCAGATGACGGTATATTGCTTACAGGCCAGAAGAAAAGGCGGCGGCAGACAGCGGGAGAAATCGCTAGACGCACGACACAGGCGACTGGACGACTGATATTGCGTTTTACCGTGGCCAGAAGACTGCACGGTGGTGGTCTGTTTGCACGACGCCCTGTACGGTGTGTACCTCTAACGCCTGCCACGGAAAAGCGTTCTAATGTGGTGCCGGGAACACCGAATTGGAGAGACAATGAATGGGGCGAGTACTCTTTACAGATGAGAGCAGATTCAGTCTGAGTAGCGATTCTCATCGCATACTCATCTGGAGAGAGCGGGGAAGCGCAATCATCCCTCGAACATATTGAAAGGGACAGGTATGGAGGTGGCGGTGTTCTCGTTGGGAGCATCATGCTGGTAGTTGTACAGACCTTCACATCTTTGACGCAGGTTCAGTCAACGGACCTGTTATTGTAACGAAATTCTTCTTCCATATGTGCATCTTTTTAGAGGCGCTATGGGTCCGCATTCTTTTTCCTGGACGACAATGCACCATGTCATCGCACAGTAGCTGCCGAACAGCTCTTAGAAGTGAGGATATGAAAATATGGATTGGCCAGTACGATCTCGGATCTCAATCCATCGAGCATGATGGGATTTTCTAGCAGATGCTTGGCAGCTCGTACCTTACCACCAGTAACGATTACGGACTTCAATGGCGCTGCAAGACGAATGGGCAGCAATTGCCTCAACAACTCATGACACCCTTATTCTCAGCATGGGCAGATGCTGTGAAAACCTGCCTAGCAGTCAGGGGAGATCAATACCCCTATTAAAGACTGGATGTTTCTTGCTGACACCCATCACAGGGATTTTCGGCCTTCAGTCGCATTGCGCTCCATGCACTTTTCAAAAGCTTCTTTTTATCCCTGATTTCTCTTCTAGTAAGTGTTGCTTACATTACTCATATCCTTATGTATTGGGATCTTACGGTATTAAATGTGTTGATTTGGAAAGCTTTTGTACAAAATTATATTGAAAAAACCGTCTCGTCCTTAATTTTTGCACACCAGTGTATAGTAGACTATGGCAACCAAGCACCACATGCATTATTTGATTTATGCCACTTTTCTACATCCACGTTGGCTTTTCCCAGAAGAAACATTCACAAACTTAGCGAAGTGTTTTCATTACACCAAAATTACTTCCAGTACAGCTGTTATGAAGCTCTGACAGAATACTAGATAATTGAGATCTCGGCAAGATGAGCTGTCATTTGAGACTCTTTCCATCATCAGTTTCCCATCTGTGACAAAGAACTCCATGTCAAATGTGAAGGAAATTCCACAAATCCCATTATCTTTTCATTGTCAGCAAAAAGGTACCATTTCTTGCCAGTGGGAGTTTTCATTTTGGTTTCCATTTATTCCATGAATGAATGGCCTCAATTCAGGACCCTCCACTTGGACCTTTCTCAATTCTTTGCTGCTCCAGGATTTAGTCTCCAGTCTTAAGGAGTCTGGGTTATATTGTCTGCATACTTGCCAACCTATGACACTCAAAAATCAGGAGTTTTTTTTTAAGAAATCAGGAGATTTTTCGCAAAATGATAAAAATATAGTTTTTAATAATGAATACTTTAAATAGTACTAAGGCTAAAGCAAGCAACACAAAGACTTACACATAAAAAACATTTTTATTGAGCGGAAAAAAAAAAAAAAAAACGAATAAGATAACTTAAATGAGTTTCTTACAAATCTATAACAGTGGGAGATTATATTTGAGAACGACCAGTTGAATTGCTGAAAGTGCAGAACTTCTTTACTTTTGCTCAAACCATTTTTAACAATGGAAGTAGTAACTAACGCTCATTTACTGTAGTATGTAGCTTACACATTCCTGCAGTGGGACGTATGCTCCCACGCTAAACTTCCGTTCAAGCATTTGGTATTATCATGAAAATGAGAATTTTTTATCACTCAATATGGGCTTTAATATATGCTGATTCCCTCATTATTGTGGCGTGATGGGCACTTTAATTCGATAAGAGGCGCTGTAAAATTTTTTACGAAATAATGTAAAAATTGAGTTCCCCAATCGGCAAAAACTGAACTGTAAAAGTTGCGACATTCTGCGATAGTGTGGGATATCACACTTATGTTTGCCATGTTTAATAAGTTCTAGTACACCTTTTAATTGCATACAACTTGAATTTACTAAATGTTTTTTTACAACTGATATAAATACATAAAGAATTATATGGGGATGCACTGCTTGCATAGAATGTTCAACCAGGTATTGTTAAACTAATCCTAAAAAATAATATTGGTGTGTGTTATGCTTTAAATGTACAACTTCTTGATATTTGATTTTTGCGCTTTTTAATTATTGTAAGGCAACGCCAGAAACAATAATACAACGAAAGCGTGGGGCGTATACGCCCACTCGGCCTGAACGGAAGATTCAAAAACGGTCTGGCGGGAACGTGTTAACTCTTAGCATTTACTTCTTTAAAACAGAAGGTTCCATTGACGAGGATCTGATAAGCACTTCTTTAAAGACAGCCAGCGTGAACACATATTCAAAATTTTCTCATATCAGTATTATGCAGCTGTTGAACTGTTTCAATTTTCCCTCCTTTTAGAATAATTTCAGATATAATAACTATCAACACTGTGTTCAGCCTATTTATTGATAAAAGCTGCACTTTTTCATCTGCTAAATTAAGAGGTACAGGTGCCCTCATAGTCTGAACTCTGAATTTTCCTTCTGAAGATGCCTGCAACACCAGTCTTCAAGCTACCATTACTGTGCATTATCGGCACCCGTGAATCAATTATCCAAGGAAGCATTTCTTTTAAAGTTTTAATAATTAGCTGTGCTATATTAAAGCAGTCGATGTCCTC